GTTCTGATCCACTGCCGCATCCAATCAGAGAGTGATATTTAATCAGGGGGCGTGTCATATGTATTCTTTTTGCTGATGGTTTTATTTGTTGTTTTTGTAGTTCATAGAGATGCACAAGTATTACTCTCAGTTTGTTTGATGACCAGATAAATACTCCTTACAGCAGCTTTAAATTCAAAAAGTCTCCTGAAGCACAAACAGAAGGTGTTTTTATTTTGTTCCCTCCCTCCTCTACCAGAACATCCTCCGTCAGGTTCAGTCAGGTTCACACGCTGGCTTTGAAGCTCAATCATAAACTGGATGGCTGTTTCGTTTCACTCATGACTTAAAGCACAAATAGGACGACACATTCAAAAGAAAGTCAACGCCGGCCACAGAAACTAACTCCACAAAAGCCAAGCAAAATACTGCTGGAGATCCCCCAAAGGGCCAATTTCTGTGAGATTTCCACAGCTTTACCTGGCAAGTGGTCTGACAACATAAACCAAGCGGTTACTGTTTGACGGGCTCGATCCCCCTGCACATTGAGTGATAATATTTCACACTGTGTACGCTCGACCACCCCGCTGTTTACTCCAGCCCGACAGTCCTGCCCAGCGTTCCTCTTTCAAATCCCTCCATCTTCTCCCTGGGAGGAGATTTCCTTTCCTTTCCACTCCTGCAGGCGCTCACATGATGTCATGCTCGCAGGACTTTCCACTGCTCCAAACAATCCCGTTAACCTCAGCTCTGCTTCTCGCTACCACACATTCCTGCATCGAGAAAAAAAAAGAAAAAAAAAAAAGGAAAAGAGTCGGTTGACCTCACGCACCTGAGATTAGGAAGCTGGAAACGAGTCGCTCAGATAACGGCCGACCTCTCACCGTGTGCCGCGTTATCAGCTTGCTGGCGGATGCAGTTCTTGCAGAAAAGTGGGATGACGGTGTTGAAGATAAATCCACTCTAGGCCTTTGTGTTTGACACGACCTTCTAAATATTGTTCTGACCTCTTCTTTTGGCCACGGTGCATCCATCACTCCCTCTCAGAGGTTTGACACAAAGTGGAAAACTATCAGCGCAGAGATGAAAAGATGGAAAGTCTAACGGGCCGTGAGAACAGTTTAAATCGTTTTTTAATATTTCGGATTGAGCGGGATTACGCAGCTCTAGATCTGCTTCTCAAGTGTCAATCTCGCATGAGCCAATAAACCACAGTTTGAACTCGTTAATGACGAGGACATCACTCGTGCGTACAGTAACGCTAAAGCAAAGGAGACAACGTTGAGCCCTTTTAACTCAGCGAGTCAGCGAGTTTAAACACTGCTGTCTTCAAAAGCTTCATAGTCACAGAATCTGTTCAACCTCAGAGAGAAGAGTAAGAGCGTCAATAAACTTTAATAACTGATACGAGTGTTGAAATCTTGTTATTAATAGAAAATACAAAAATGTAATTTACTTTTTCCTCATCAAACAGACAAACAAAAGTGTTATAAAGCCAAGCTAAGCTGCTAATAAAAGGCTTACTTTGCAACTTTCAGAAACCTTTTTCAGACTATAAGCTCAGAGGTCATCACGTCTTTGTAGATTCATATTGACTCCTTAACGGTGTAATATATAGTCTGTGAATTCACGTTGTGTTTCGGCGTTGGGGAAAAACAGCACAGCAGGAGCTCCACATACAGAAACAGTCAAACATCCACACGCACACATCTAAGGGGAAAAATCAATTTATGACCATAATCAAGACAAACAGGCGAAATCATAAAATGTTTTCCACCTCATTACAAACAATATAAAATGTCCTGATGATGTCCAGATGATAGTAAACACTAAAGTCTCAAGCTTGAATTAATTTCCATTTTTAGATTTAAACAGGATTGTGTTAAAAAGAAAAAGAAAAAAACATCCCCCGACGTCTATCTTTGAAGGGTTAAAAACTCTCTCTCTCCAGACAGGTGGATTTTTGTGCTCTATCATCTTTAATAACTTCTCCCTCAGTCAGTTAGAAGCTGATTAGAGAGAAAGCAGCTTCATTACTCTGAAACATACAAGTCTCTGCATCATGTTTCCCTCTGCCTTCAGGCGGAGCAGGGGGCCACAGTAACACAACCACGTGTTACATCATTACAGCACAACCCCCCCAACCCTACTCCCGATCCTCAGCCTGCAGAAAAGCACATGTATGTGGACACACACATTGACAGGGCGGGGACTAAATAAGAGCAGACATTAAAATGCAATCAGCTACAACAGCTCTGCAGTAAAATCTGTCTGAAGTGAAATTGTTGTTGGCACGCCGTCAGAAAGGTCAAGGTCCAAGTGACTGTAGTTCCTGTTGTTGTAAACTACACAAACAGAGAGGTTTTAATTTAATAAAAGGGGCTGCCGTACTGAGGAGTCCTGCACAACGTCGAGAGCTGGAACAATATTCAGGATGTACTGATTGACCAGTATGTAAACAAACTTAAGAACCCCTGCAGAAATCAGGGCCCGGATCGGCCCCTGCTTGTTGAACTGACAGGTAGGGAAACACCGTGTGTTCACACATCAGCTCAACCCGGACGAGAACTGGAATGAACAAACAGCTAACCTAATCCTCACAGCTCTACAAAAACCTGAACAATATTTAATCTCATATTCAAGATGGAAAATATATTTCTGATTGAATGTGTCCATGCAGACACAAGCCGAGGTTGGAGACACCTTCACAGCCGACAGATGCTCGTAAAAGGTCGACATAACTCCTCTTTCAAACTGCCCTCCTCATCCTCACCCCGTCTGCAGCGACGTCTTCATGTGAGCTGCACTAGACGTTCAGTTTGAGGCGAGCTAGTAGGCGGCTGGGAGCGAGAGAGGCAGCGCTGGTTTATGGGTCAAGCCTGCAGCTTTACAAGGGAAATCTCCAGAGCCTCTATAAATACCACTGTGAGCTTTAAGGGTGCAGTATATCACACCACTGGGTTTGAAGGACCACAAGCCGACCTACTTTTTCCTTTTGTAGTCCCCCCTTTTCTTTTTTTTCTCTCTCTGAATGTACAGTCGCATGAGCCTGAATACAATTAAATGTGAATTCCCCCTCCTCCATTTTCAAGTGACGGTTAATTGATTGGCACGACTTCAAAAACACGCCCCCCCCGCCCCGTCTGAGACAAAGAGCTGGCCGTTCACCTCATGCGTCAGAGCCGTATATCATTAAACGACCTTCAAGTTTGAGGGTGGTTTTGCTTTTTAGTTCTGAGCAAAGGGTACCAATATGTCAGGAGCCTTTTCAAGTCAATTTTGAGGTTTTTTTTTTTTTTTTCAACGAGCTCCACCTGCAAGCGAGACATTTATTCAGCTCAAACTGATGTAGTGCGACTTTAAATGAGACCTAATGACTCGCTTAAGGAAACGGCTGCATAAAAGTTACAGTTCTGTCAGAGCGACACGGCCGTGCAGCATGTGCAGCGTAAATCAAGACCTCTTATTTTTTTTTTTTTTTAACTCTGAAGCCGATTGGATATGCACTTAGTTTTAGACGCAGCTTTAACCTGAGCATAAGTCATTCAGTTTCATTCAGCTTTTATGGTGAGAAAGAGAAAAAGGTGGGAGAGCCTCGAACACCTGAGCAGAGCAGATGTGGAGTCAGAGCTCAATAAAAAAAAGAAAAAAAAAAAAAGCTGCGATTCAGCGCTCACGTGCAAATCACATCAGCCAGCTCTAGTTAGCGGCAGACGGTGCTAATTGGTTCCAGAAGAGTGTTGCTCTCGTTCACACCGGCTGAGACGGCAAGCGGCGAGGGCGAGCAGAAAGAGAGAGAGAGAAGAAAGAGGGAGAGAAGGTGGGGGAGTAATGAGAGGTCAGACGCCATCTACAGTCGGGCTGCCAGAGCCAGAAAGAAACGCCAATTTTATGGTCAATTGGGCGACGCATCTGGACTCATAGATCACAGAGCTGCAGGGCTGGACTTAGCACCCAGATCACACACACAAACCAGACCACACAACACACACAATCACAGCCAAACAGGCTGCACACACACACCAGGGACACGTGATTGACAACCTTGTTAAGAAAAGTGCTCTGTTAGTATTATTTTTTTCATTGACAATTTAGTTGGTTTATTACATCACTTAAAGTTTTGGAAATCCCGAGACCACTTTATGGAGGTCTCAGAATCAAAAACATTTTTACCCGGTCTTGTCTTGGTCTCAGGCTGGGCGGACTCTGGATTTTAAATCAAGATGGGTCAGGACCACCACTGAGAGACCCTTTGATTAGAAGGAAAACGCCTCTTTCCAAAAGAACAAATCATTTTAGTTCATTTGTAGTTTGATTTTTATCCCATTTGGGGTGAAGACCCTCTGACACATAGAGGTCAGCCTGCTTCAGCAGTTCACAGATGACGAGGACATTGGAGGTGGTCCTGTCTCCTGTGATGTCATCCTGCGCTGTGGCAACCTTAGGATGAGTGAGGCTGTCGGGGGCTGAATTTGCATCTCACAATTTACGGCCGCAACCTTCCTGGTGTAAATGTCTCGGTCTTGTCTCGGTCTCGGAGCACTCTGGTCTCGGTTACCTTAATGTCATCCAGCCTGCAGGTACCCCTCTTGTAATGTGTCTTGGGGTCTTGGGGGTGTCCTAAAACTACCGTCACTAATTGATATGATCCTTATAATAATTGAATCCTTTCAGTGTTTTTGGGTGCTCTGATATGAAATTATGAAGAATCAATGTTTAAATCATTGTTCAGGACTGTTCTCTAATTTTTCATGTATTTTCCATCATGTGTAAATTGTTTTCCAGGTTTTCAGGAAACACGTTGGAATCCTGCATCTGCATCATCATATCTGAGAGTCAAGTGATGCCACCAAAGTCACTGGACTTTGAGAAGCTCAGGGTGGTTTCACATTAGGAACCTGGTCCTGGATTCGAGTACGCTTGACCCCAAAGTCCAGTTCATTTGATATAATTAACTGCTATACCACCACCATGACCCTGTTGCTTTAAATGGCGCTGTAACTCTGTCCAGGCGGTCTTACCTCTGTGGGCACAGCCAGTGAGGGCAGCAGGGGCGTCATGCAGTTGTACCTCTGCATCGTCACCATGACGACACAGCGCAGCATCTCCAGGAGGGACGCTGTCGGCCTGAAAAACAAAGACACGTCAGACAGCAGCTCAAAGTCTGACACACATCTGTATTCATCTCCTGGCCTCAAAGTTTGAGGAGACCTTTTTGTTTTAGTTAAGTCGTTGCAGGAATAAAAGGAGCGTTCATGAGAGGGAGCTTCAATTTGCAGAGTTCAAATAGATTTCAAATGTTGAGATTGTCACATTAAGCAACTCAGGGCTTAGCTTTGGCTTTTCATATCTTGAAATTAGATGTTTATCTGGACTTATATTAAGTGTAATGACATATTTGTGACCATAAATGAGACAAATACACTCAATAAGATTTCAGTTTTTGTAGTGAAACAGCGAGATACGTCTTTTTAAGTCTTGAAAATCTTTAATATTGTAAACGCCAACAGTCGAAAAAGTACCAACAGTCTGGCTTCCACACGAAAATCAGGTCCAACTATTTGAGCTAACATGTAATTTCTTTGACTTTATTCAAATGTAAGCCACTTAGTCTGTCCAGAAAGGCTGGCTGCCGTCACATCAGATTTTCCTCCCCGTTCACCTCCACGAGGAGCAGAGCGAGAAGTACTCACTGCTGCCAGAACTCACTCAGGTTTACATTTGACATAAACTCTCCAGAGATCGGCCTGTTTTTCCTGTTCTTTTGTTAGCCCGTTAGCCACAATAGCTCTGCAAACACTTTCCCATTGTCTTCCTGCTTTCAGCCTCGGCATGCCAGTAAAATTAGCCAGACAGAATCTGGCCTGAGTGCACATTATTATGAGCGGTGCTTTGCTTTGGAGCAGTGGTTCTCAACTTGTCGAGCCTCAGGAGCCACCAGCTACTCCTACATGAACAATGGCGACTCAAAATTACTGATATTTTTCAATCTATCAGATTTACTTAAAGAAAATTTGTGCAGATCGGACCTCAGAGGTTACAAAGCGGGATAGAACAAAGAAACTGAATAAAACAAACTCGTTAAAAAAAACGCCTCAGAGACTTTTTGTCAGCATTTTTCTTCCAGGCGCACTTTCACGACCTTCTAAAAATGGCTCCGCGTCCCACATATGGGTCCTGACCCACCAGTTGAGAACCACTGCTTTAGTGTCAAGCTAACATTACAAGGCAAACAGATTCTGCAAAGTCAGCAAACAGAACACCAATTGCAATTCAGGCTAATGTCTGATCTAAAAAAAAATATTTTTGAGTTTATTTTCTCAATGAAATCAAAGTTGCAACAAATGGATATTTCATGTGTAATATTTTATGGCAGCAGCTAGTTGACAATTTGCATTTTTTGCTCATTTATTTGGACAAAAGATGAATTAAAAGCTGTGTTTTTTGATCAATTTTATGACAAGTTGCTGATTATCTCCCCACTAGCTCCAGGAGTCTGTTGTTTTCCTACTTTTCTGTCTTGTTTGCCATCTTGTTCCCCCTCAAAGATTTATAAATGGTAGCTTCCAAACCATTGACATTAACATCCAGAAACTCTCTTTGCATCTTTGCGTCGAAGCTACATTTTTTGTTTCTCTAAATTGTGCAAGAGAGTCGATGAAACAATCAGTGGTTGAGCGTGCTGTACCTCTGATCGATGATGTAGCTCAGCGAGGTGAGAGTGAGCAGGATGTAGAGGACCATTCCCAGGACGGTGAGCTGTGACATCATCTACAGAAGGATTCAGAGAAACATTTGCATGGCATGAGAAATGCGGTCGGGAAAAAATACATTAGAAGCTAAAGCTTAAATGAATCTCATGGCTGGTTGAGTTACGATCACAGGAGAGCTGACTGGGAGAGCAGACAGAAACCGCACGGCTGCTTGACTGTTGACTTGGCACTGCCAACCAAAACATGTCTGACCTTGGGAGTAAGTGTACTGGCACATACGGCATCCTGCAGAACTGAGTGCAATCTGCTTCTTACTTTACACTGACAAGCCTGGATTACAGGGAGGCTCTAATCAGCCTGGATGGGTCTTGACGGACGACTTGACCACAGAAAAAAGAGACTTGAAGGGAAACCAAACCCCAGAGTTTTTTAGAATTTACAAAAATGCCTCAAGAGCGTAAATGTATCAACATGGACAGGGCTGGAGGGGGGGATCAGACACGCCCACTCATTCCTTCATGCCGTAAATATCAGCCACAACATAATAAAGTCTATGCTACATGCAAACACATACACTGATTAGCATGCTTAGCTAGGTTATTTAGCCATGGGTAACAACCCGAGAAGCAGCAATGCCACTTCAGTGTGGTTTGATGTCGAGGACTCTTCTCCTCCAGAGTCTCCTGAAGGCCAGCGACCATGGCGGTCCAGAGCCATCTCAGTTTGAACAATGAGCACAGGCAGCGAGTACTAATACAGCAGATGCTGAGGACAGAGAGGTGCGGAGAGGATGGGGGACTTCCTGATTGGTAAATGATGCCTCCTAAAAAAAAAAAATTTTTTTAAAAAAAAAAAAAATCGGACAAATAGCCCCGTTTTTGTACTTCACAATCTCACTGCAAGCCAGGATTCAGAAAAATGTAATTGCAGTAGCCGGGTTTCAACCTGTAGAGGGCAGTCACTATGCATTGACCCAATATTTACAAACTAAACACTTTGAGATTTAGACCAAGAAGTGATCAACTGATCACCACTTGCAGAGGTTTTCAGCTGAAAAAAGTGGCTGGGCATTTTGTTTCTCTTTAAATTTGAATCCTAAACGGGGCCCAAAAAACCAATACAGGAGCAGAAATCCTGCGCAGAGTCTCTGCATTTTACTCTACACTGACAGTCCTGGGTTAGGGGGACGCTCTTATGGATGTGCCTTGCAGGGGGGACTTGAACGGAGAAAAATAGACTTAAGTTTGAATCAATAAAAGCCCCTAAACGGAGCCAAAACAACCAATATGGGAGCAGAAATCCCATGCAGATTCTCGCTGACCTTTTTCCGAAGCTTTTTTGGACGCAAACACAAAACTGACAAGAGGAACAGGACGTGATCTACGGCCTAATTTTCCTTCTCTAACCTACGGCCTTGGCTGAGGGCGGCAGCTGGAAGCTCGACGTCTCCTGAGGATGCCGCAGGCTGTCAGCTTCGGTTTAGATTTCGCCCGACACTCAATACAGAGCTTAACAGCCAAATCTCTGTGACTGCTCCCAATACCATGCAGCCATATATAGTAAACATAAAATCCACCCATCAACAGGATGCAATAAAACCCCTCCCCCGTCTTTATGTTTACCCAGCAGTCGTAATCCATAAACCCCCATAAGAGCTGCATGATCTGAACCCTCACAGGGGATCTGATATAATTATGTGTTCTGTGAATCAAACGTGGGATTTTCTGGCCTCGATCCAATTTGTCAGAGTGAGTCAGAGCAGACTGTCAAAGGTTGTTAAAGTTGAATGATTATTGTGTTGGAGTTCAAAGGCTACAGGTACAGTTATTTTTAGGAAGCGGTGTTATTAGGGGGGAATTATTTTGGATACATGAGCGTATCTGTTTGTGTAACCCGGGGGGGGGGGGACAGAAGTGCGCGCTCACATAATCTTCATTTTTGTTTGGCTATCTATCACCCTGGGCGGTCTGCACTCGAGCGTTCAGGTGGTGAAAAAAAAGAAGAAGAGGAAATGTGCTGTGTGTCTTTCATCGAGCTAATTTTTAATGTGACCAAACGTCAAACTGCAGCAATAACAGCTGAGGACAGAAATAAAAGTTAACATCTGGTGGCAGCGGACTGATTGTGTTGTTCTGTCGTCCCCGGAGGCGGAGCAGATTTACTCATTATTCAGGACGTTATTTTAACAAGAATATGATGATTTCACGACGGCTCGGAGAGTTAACACTCTGCGCTACCATGATGTTGAAAAATTGATTTATTGTGTTTGAGTGACCAAAATTAGCCTTTTGAAATTAATGTAAACCAAGAACTAAACTACCTAAGCCACTGTTGCTTGGTTACAGTAGTGGACTTATGCTGCCCTCAGCAATGACTGTTCAGTGTGTTTAAAGGCCCTGACACACCAAGCAGACAGCAAAGAACTAGCGGCAACGAAGGCCGACTGTGGCGTCGCCTCATGTCACCTTTTGTCTTGGCCGAAAAGTTGCACCTGAACACACCGCAAAGACTACAGCCAACGGCCAACCATACTACAGCGGCATGCTCAAGGGGCTTTCCTGAACCTGTGAGGAGAGATGGAGAAAAATGAAACCTCAAAAGAGCCAATCAGAGAGATTCCTCTCACTGGCCACAGATTCAACATGTCGAATCAGCCAAAAAAAGGCAGACGGGTAGCGCCACACCGCAAAAACTAGGGCGACGACCACTCACCGACGGTCCAACTAGGACCGACGATCTCCGTGGTGTGTCAGGGACTTAAGATAGTTCAGCATTTCCAGCGCTCAGGAGGGTGAGCGCTACATTGGTTTTGTACTGAATAGGTCGCTGCATGTGTCTGTGAGGCTCCCAGAGGCTTTGATGGAGCCAGACAGCAGATGATTGGTTCTAAGATTGGTGTACTGCTGGCATAAGGATAACACACGTCTTATACAACTGGTCACTTCAACATCATTTAAATGCAGGAATAGAAATCTTTGTGAAAAGTCGGCACGCGGCTTCATTTACAGAAATAATCTCAGGTATAATTTCAGATGATTTTATGATCCAGCCACACAAACTGTAGCGCATGCCACAGCAGGTACTTAAGTTTAAATTCTGCAGTTACAAAAACACTACATGTCGAGTCGAGTTGTCCTGAGACGAGATATTATGCACATGCTCACTTCCCCTCGCTGCCTCTAATAGTAACAGTTCATCGGACCTATAATAAAAGGTACACGTTTGGCGTGCTGATGATGTAATTGAAGAGTAGCCTAACCTTGTTTTCATGGCTTCGAATTAACGCTCGGCGCCATAAATTGTCCGGCAGTGTATCATCAATTGTCAAGCTAAATAAGCAGCTAGCGAACATGTGGGGTATAAATACATAAGAGTGACATGATTTATTGTCGGGCCGGAGAGCTCACTTTGTTATTTTCCCTCCAAGTCTTGATTGCTGCATCCTGAAGGCTGTTTGGGTTGGGAAATGGTTGACTCGACAATTAAGGCGTTTGTGTTCACTGCTGGACCACCAGCTGGTGTTTCATTCGCAGGGAGGGAGGGGAAACCTCGACCCTGGAGAGGAGGTGTGTGTGTGTACTGTATGTGTGTGAGGGGTGGGGGGACCACAACTGAAGGATCAGAGTGGAGGTAGCCATCACAAAAAGGACGGGCCGTTTTGATTTGGGAGTTTGAAGGGGGGGGGCGTGACAGAAGTTTCTGGCTAACCAAAAACTATGTCTGGGGGAAAAAGGCTTCCAAAGATAACTGCTGAGGAGACCTGCTTCTTTTTTTTTTCTTTTGCGGGGCAGGAGGAGGAGGAAGGGGGTCTTTTGGCTCGTGAAATGGAAAATAATAGACAAAGGTTGTTCTAAAGGGGAACGTCGATCAGTCATCCTGTCATGATGTTAGACAGAGCTGCTCTTTTCCTGCACGATAAGTACAGGACTCTGCTCGAGCACCAGAAACCACAACAAACAAACTGTAATTGGGTGAAATAATGTTGGCAAACAAACACACAGGCTTAATTAAAGAACCCAGGACCACCTTGTCATACTTCATATGAGGGATTACAGGAACCTAAACGTCACAACAGCTGCATGAGAACAGATCGTCACCAGCTTCTAAAAAAACGAGATAACACCATCTCCCCTACAAAAGCATCCCTGTAGTGATTTCTGCATGCCATCTCTTCATCACCGTCAACATTTACAGTTGTTTTATAAGTTTTGAACACATACCATCTTCTTTTCAAACAGATCGTGGTAAGTCCACAGCACCAGCAGGAAATGGATGACCACATAGAGCTGTAGAGGAAGAGACCAGCTGGGATCGTGAGGAACTTCCTTTCCAGTAACCTGAACATGGAAAATAGAACATGTTTAACCACCTGATCTGAAATTGTTCTGTTCAGTTCAGTTTTCTAAACAAATTCACCTTTATTCATGATTAACATCAGATTCATACCAACAGGTTCAGAAATGTAACCCTCAGTAGGAAAACTAAAAAAATGTCTGTAAATTTCCGGGGATCATTTATGAAAGCCTCTTAAAAAATCCTGAAATGTTCTGATGATATTACCTGATAAGGAAATTCACCAACATTTTCTAAAATGGCCAACTAAAATTCCAGGAAAAATTCTGGGGATGGTCTTGAATATTATCAGGAAAAATTCCTAAATTCCTTGAAATCCTTAAAGGTCAGAATTATCCCAAATGTCCACGATTCCTAAGAATATATGGAAAAATGTTGTAAAGAAATTCCTGAAATTTCTGACAGTTTCTGAAAATTCTCTGACAAAAAAAAAAAACAGAAATATTTTTTTAGAAATATTAGCGAAGCGTTCTGAGAAAAAATGGTTCTGGGATGTATATCCCACAGTTTAAGGAAATACTCCCCAAAGTTTCCAGAATAATTCCCTAATCAGGTAAAAATTTTAATTAAATTTTTGGAAAAAAGATTTGATAAAAAATTATTTGATGAAAAATACCCCAAACCCTAAAAAGTTTCATGGGAAATTACCACAAAAAAGTCTTCAGTCTCCTACTGACTGAATTTTAAAAACTGGAGAAAGTCATTTTGTTTCTTTCCACAGAAGAAGTCCTCCAGGATTTATTGGGTGTACTAGTTTCTTCATAACGGACTATACGATTCCTTCAGTAAGAACTCCCATTCGACCTGTTTTTGTGTTTCTTATTAATAAGTAATCAGGCCTCAGGGCTTCATGTTGAGACTACATCCTTTTTGAGGAATGAAGCACAAAAAAATCTGGCCAATCACAGAGATGCCTGTCTGAGATTCAGGGGGGTTTCCCAGGATTCATAGGAACTGAAACAGCCACATGTGGGTTCCTCCTGAATCCCATCCCCAATCCCGGATGGTATTTCAGCCAAAGTTAGCAAGAGCATGTTAAAACAGTATCTCCTCTTTAACTTTCCTTTCCTTCCTCCTTTAACTCCTTCATGGTCAGACATCAACAAGCAACTTTTCACTTGAACCCTCTCAAGATATTTAAAGGGGACATATTATCAAAATCCACTTGTACAGTGTTTTTGAACATATATTTGGGTAACCTGAGTGTCTACTGACCCACAAAATGTGAAATAAATCCATTCAGTCCTTTGTTTGTGGTCTGCATAAGTCTTACAACACAGAGAAAAATGCTCTGTTTCAAATTTGCTCCTGGTAGAAAAAATCCCCTCCCCTCCCCTCCCCTGGTATCTCCACCCATGGACTCCACCCCCAGCCTAGAACAAAACTTTAGGCAGGTCGGCCATTTTTATTCTCGCTACAGAGGAGTGATGTCTCCCGGGAAAACTCAGGGGGGGGTTCATTGTATTTAAAGAGATACACACACCAAAATGCAGCGTTCTGAAAGAGCTGGTTTATACAGAGTCATAAACCTCCTCTGGTGCTTGATTCATGTTATAATTTGACCAAAGCACAGCACAGATGTTTCATTTAGACCACAGGGGACTGTTTGAAAAGCTGGAGAAGGGGGATAGTATGTCCTCTTTAAGTTCATCTCCTGCTCTTGCTGCGTTCAGAGGGTTTTAGAAGCCAAATGTAATTACTCAGTCAAAGAGGATTTGATTCTTTCTTCAAGTGTGAAGCATGAGGGGCTCAATATGTGACTCCATCAGCGTTATTTCAAAGAGGCATTCAACTGGAGCCTGTTTCTTTCTGCACACACACACACACACACACACACACAGACACTTCTACTTTAAGTGCATGCAGTTTGAATCCCGCAGACTGCTTTTAAAGACAGTGAAAATGAACTTATTGTGTTCCCTCTACAAAGCTTTTATTTGATGTGGCAGTTTCTCGTAAAACTTGCAGAATAAGTGAATCCTTCAATAAGGCGTGCTCTGAGTCATTTAGCTTTGTGTTTCTCGTGTCAAAATGAAGGATAATGAAGACTGAGGGCAAAAATGTGAGAATATATGTGACGTTTTTTTTAATTTTGTTCTCACCACAGGATTGTCTACGTGGTCGCCGAGTCGACGTTTACCAGGTTTCCAACTGGGCCCGTTGAGAAAAGTCAACACTTTGTCTGCGATGGTCTTGTAGGTTTGGGATCGTCCCCACAAATCAAAGTAGTAGTGTAACTGAAAGACAGAAAACAAATCAAACATCAACATGCAATCAAAAGCTGCATTTCACTAATTAACGTTTATTAAGCCAAAGCTGTGTGAACTGATCCTGATGGAAATGCTTCTGAGTTCATTAAGCGCAACATCAGTGAAGGCAGCGAAAATAATCACAACATCCCCCCTCCTGGTGTTTCACTTTATTGGCCTCCTTCACCTCAGACAGGCACTTTGTTTGGAGTAAAGTAATCATGTTAGGGGTTTTTTTTTTTTTTTTTTTTAAATGGAGGGAAACACGAGCTCAGATCTCATCTGCTGAAGGTGTTTATTGTCAGACGGTTGGAGGCGAGCTGCTCGATGGCACACAAACCATCGATGGAAGACGAGACTCACCTGAACGTAGAGGATGTCAAAGGTGTTGATGGGGAACACCAGGCCATAAATCACTTTTTCTTTCTCTTCAGCGAAGGTACCTGAGGGACACATGAACAGTTTGACTTGAAAAATAAATCTGAGATTTTTGATGGTAGATGTTGCTGTGTAAAGAGAACATCAGAATTAACTAATTCCATTTATACACATTCACAAGCCGCCGCCGAAGCAGAAGGAGCAGCTGGGTGTTAAGTGTCTTGCCCAAGAAAACATTGGACATGTGGCTGCAGGAGCTGGGGATCGAACCCGACTCTAGAGACGACTCTATTACTGAGTTGCAGCTCCAATATCAGTATCATGACATTATTATATCATGATTATTGTTTCATACATTAATACATTTTATTCAATTCCATATTTCCCAAATAACATATTAACATAACATATTAACCATATCTTACATGTATCTTCATACAATTCTACGGTTTAATTTACGCTTTTGCAACGTACATCTGAGAGTAAGAAAAAAAAAACCCAAGGATCTGCTCACCGAATAACCGGTCCCAAATGATGAGAATTCCTCCGTAGTTCTTGTCAATGCAGTAAAGGTTTCTCCCTGTTGAAAGAAACATTTTGTTTGATGCAAGTTTTTAAATCAATTCAACATGTCTTATATCAGTTTTTTATTTAAGGCAGGGCAAGCATGATTTTGAAAGTAGCATTCCCTCTGTGCTCCGTCTGCACCCACCCCCTCCCCTCTGTGCTCCCTCAAAAGCTCCAATATTGATCCTAGTTTGAGCACGTTTCTGCTCATTTGGTTTGACCTGATAACTGCTCTCATATCTGGCAAACCGAGGGGCATCCAAAACAACTGTCTACCTTTTCTGGTCCAAACAAATCCAGAGCATTCAGGACCAGAATCTAAAGTTAGAAGGAGGACATACTGGCTGCTGCATTGTTGTCAGAGAAGCCAGCACTTCAACATAGCATGTTTCCTTAATGTCTGATCATATAGTAAGCTCACTTTATCATTTCACTCACTACACATCTAACTTACTAACCTCATCATAAGACTCGTTACATGTTCCTTCTCTTCCTTTGGACACCAAACATAGAATAAGAAAACTAGAGTGTGAATGTGTTTCTCACCGTGATGAACTCTGTGATGTTTCGGGGTGTTGAAGATCCACTCCAGAGGTCCGAGGTTTTTGATCAGCTGAAAGAAAATGAGAAATGTTTTTTAAAGGAAACATTTTAAAACAGAAGTGACCACATTTGTAAAAGAGGCGTTGTGACTAATCGACACTGCTTGACAGTAGCAACTTCTCAAATCACACACAGCAATGCTTTGTTAATGTCACTCTGATTTATTACTTAATCATCATATTGGTTTTTATTCTCCCCTTAAGTTTGAATGTTCGATTAAAGTCTGGTATAGACTGCATGATTTTTGCATTCTCTTAAGTTTACTGAAAGCCAAACTTCAACACAGCTCTCATAATGTTGGTACGTCAGCTCTCACACTGTGCGATGATGTATCTTAGGCTGTGAGTCAACACGCAGCATCATCAGTGTGTGTCAGCCCGATCGAGCAGAGGTTGCCATGGCTTCCGTCTCTTTTGAAGGTTGTCAGTCATCCAGGTCAAGGTAAACTGGACCAGAAGAAACTGGATCAAGCCTTTAAGTAAGTTCACTTGCCTTTGGATCGAGCTTCAACATGTTTTTTATGAAGGCTTACTAACCTTGTTTTATCCAGGACGTTTGATTTATTTGCTCTTTTAAAATCGTTTTTGTCATTTCTATTTTCTTCTCTACATCTAATTTTTTTACAGCTACATTGTTGTTTTTATTCTCATGGGGTTTTTTTTGTTGGGATTTTTGGGTTCTGTAAAGCACTTTGTAACACTTTCAACAGCTCTGTGGTTGTGTGGTCGCGCTGATTAGTGCGTCTTTCATGCTGCACTTCTATTGGTTGGTTAGTTGACATAGATCGTAGACGCATTCACATTGTGAGATGACTGTCCTAAATTTCTGACACTGTCAGATATTTGTCGCAGGCTGTCTTTGGTCCCATGTCAGGATATGGGCAGTGGTGTAAAGCAGGGTATACGCAGGTACTTCTAAATCCCCTCTGATTCACACCTGTGTTTGACTGACAATATTCAGTATGCTGCGATTTTTTTTCCAAGGATGGTGAAGGGATGACCCTCCATACTCTGTCTCTATTGGTTAGTACGCACTGACTGAATATGCAAGAGGAGTCTTACATGTCACTGTTAATAACAGAGGCTGTTTTTACTCTGCTGGTCGGGACAAAATTGGGGGTATAAATAAGAGTATACCCACTTTTTGAGGCACTTTTTACTACACCACTGGACATGGGTCATCATTGATCCTCTAATAGAGCGACCTAGAGCATCCATTTTGGAGCCTCGACCACAGATATGACCACGATTTTGTTTGGAACAGCCCGAAATCATAAAGTCTGTATGCCACATAAGAGCAGTATTCATCAATCAGACAACCCCTCATTGACTGTGAGCAGTGGAGTATTAATGTTAGGCGAGGTAATCGTAAAAAATCAATACCCATTACCTGCCATTCATAAAGAAATACATCCTTAAAATGTCATCGTAAAGAACATTTTGTTCATAAAAAGACCCGATTTGAGCCACTTTGTCGTCTTAGATATCCAACAGATCCACCAGTGAGTCATTAAAGATTACAGAGGCCACACACTTTATTCCCCCTACGTTCATGTTTCCCCCTTTGACTGCAAATCTCCATTTTCTTTTTTTTGATGTTGTGCATGAATACGGCAGACCTCTCAGTCTGGAGAAATGTGCACGGCTGGTCAGGATTTCTCAGTGATTCATTATTTCCATGTAATGGCTGCGTCTGGCAGCCGAGCGTGAGAGTTTCATCGTGAATGAAAAAGGGGTCTCCACCACTTCGCTCTGAGGCTCCGGAGGCCGCAGCGGTGCAGCGAACAGAGCGCCAATAAATTACATGACATCAAAAAAAAGGGCCATAAAGGAGGCATAAATTACATCCCCTCAGAAAATTGAGACTATTACGACTGTTTTCACTAATAGTGCACTAAAAGATGGAAGGCGTTTCAAATCCATTTGGTTCCCTCTGAAGATTTTAAAAGTGATACTCCCGGTCGCTTTAGAGGCAGAGAGCGGTCATGCTTCTGTTTGGAATATTTCATAAAATCTCATTATTTTTTATTGAACACAGGTTCCTCTGAAACGCTGCGTCTACAAAGGCTCTACCTAACGGACAGATTATTGTTGGCACATGGAGAATGATCACTTCACAGGCGTTTTATTCAGTCAGATGATCATTTAAAAAATGGAACAGAAGAGGGGACTACAGGGTCTTTAACCTGTGTATGAAGGTTTACCTCTGTGTGGATCCAGAACTGGTACAGAAGGTTTAACTGGATGTGGACGGCAAAGATCGAGGGGGGAGCGACCAGAGCCAGGGGCAGGTAGAAAATCTGATGACAGAGAGGAGAGAAGTTAAAACAGCACACGTCTAACAAACCTCAAAGTGCAGATTCACAGAGAGCTCGTGGCAGGAGCGGATCCAGACTTTGGTGACTGGGGTGGCCAAACTGGGGCCCTGACTGCACAAACACACAAATGAACAGCATTTATTTACCCTTTCTTTGTCCCCAAAAAAAATCTTCTCTAACTCCTTTCATTACAGTATCTGAAAGAGGATATGTATGTGCTTATTGTAATGTAAAAAGTAATAACACAGTGGTGATGTATAAGGACACAAAAAGAAGATTTCTGAAGCCAATGCATGAGTGCAAATAAACTGCAGTTCCTTGAGTGTCCACTTGAGGCTGCCTCCAAAAGCCTCACATGTCCCATACACACCACATATTAAAATGCTCATTACTATATTTATGCCTTTATTTAGAGATAGGACAGTGGATAGAGTCAGGAATCGGAGACAGAGAGAGAAAGGGGAATGGCATGCGAGAAAAAGGAGTCACAGGTCGGAATCGACCCCGGGCCGCCCTCTTGGAGGACCATTGCCTCTGTACATTGGGCGCCAATAACCACTAGGTTACCAGCGCCCCATAATGCCTATTTTAACAGCAGAAACGCTTCATCTTGGTAATTTAAGTTTCGCAGACATTACTCCAACATCAGTAATCAGTGTGTTGGTTTGAGATATTTTCACCTGCAGATTTGATGAAGTGCGACGTATTTCTGGCGTCAGGATTGGCCATGATTGGAAAACAAGTCTTGCAATTTCTGAGTTTTCCAGCACGTGTGAACCATCTCTCAGAGAGGCAGATAATCTAAACCACTTAAACAGCTTGGCGATTCAGGTTTTATAATTGGGGGCTATTTTAACGGACACATGTGTTCTTACAAAAGGACGTTGTGTTTGATTTTGAGAACATTTGACCTTTGAGGCTGGGGGTCGGGAATCTTTTCTTTCAAAAGGCCCATTTCTGCCAGTAGATCCCCCCCAAAAAAAAATCTGTCGGGAGCCGAGAAATATGTTTGAATATTTGATTTCTGGCAACAGATTTACCAAAAAGCGCTCCTGGGGCATGATATATATAAAAACAGATGTTTTGCAAAGCCGCAGGGAGACACCAGAGAGGGGAATAAAAGGTTGTTGGTGGCCGACCCCTGTTTCGGCCGTAAAAAAAAAAGCAGAAAAAGTCATTGGATAATGCCATTAATGAACCAGACCTGCTGAGGATGAGGAAAATCAGATTATTTATTTCCATGATTCTCTTACCCATGAAGTGAACTGCTGTGTGAGCGACTGTCTGAGGGCTGTGGTCAGGTTGTAGTACTCTGAACTGTGATGAACCTGGTGAGCAGCCCAGATGAAGGACACCTCTGCAGAGACAAACACACACACATATAGATCCAACTTATACTGACGCCAAAGAGTCCAAATCTCATATGAGGGTTATCAGTTTCCCCCACCTGCTCATTAATGTGTTACAGAGCTAACAGCAGCCATCTAACCGCGGCGAGATTCACACTCGGGCCTTGAACCCTCGCACACATCTTCGGCTGTCTTGTGATTGACGAGTGATTTATCTCTAAAATCAACCCCATACCTTCCCAAGATAAGAAACAAGATACTTTCAACCCCCAGAAGGACACATTTCGGCCCCGCTCCCGGCCCGGGCCGTGATGAAACGTTGAGCCTCGAATGTAGCCGGCCATTTAGGTTATTATGACTGTGGAGGTATTCGGCTGCAGCTGGTTAGCGTCCAGCCTGACGTCCCAGAGCTCCAGTTTACATTCCTCTGCTGTGTTGTGATACTTGCTACATTAATATCTGTGTTACACTTCATTTTTACACCCAAAGGGAACAAGCTTGTTAAGTTTCACAGGATCTCCTCGCCGCTTTCCGGACCACCCCGTCTGCGCTGTGCTTTTTGGCACCTCCCGTCCACTTTGGCCTCTGCAGCCGTACAACTGAGAACAGTAACCTTCAAATATTGCTGAACCGCAAACCCCCTTATAGACTATGTAGAGTTTAATGTATTTATTATAAGGAAAAGTAGCTCGAGTTATTAAAAGGAGGTTTGAGTTTTACAAGGCAGCCTTCATGTGTGATTAAAGGATCAATTATCAAACAATTGAACTTGACTTTAAACAAGTGAAGGTGGTCACATTAAGGAGGGCTTGAAGTTTAAATGTCAGGCTTAGAATTTAACATGACATGAATTAAAGTGTGGTCTCTTCACACACATACACGTATCATTTTTAGCGTCATAACAATGCATTTAAGTTATTCCAGATAATTTCACTGGTCTCATCATCCCAATGACTTTTCCTTAAAATGGAAATTTTAGACACTTTAGTAGATTTATTTTCTTTGCTTTCTGGTGGAGAGTGAAGATGAGAGGATGCATGTTACTCATAATCCCTGTATGTCATTGCACTGAATATGTTATCACAGCTAGTAGCCAGTTAGCTAGCTTTGCATAATTTTTTTTACACTCTAGTTCCTTGCTAAAAGGCACCTCAGCAGGACTCAGGAAGTGACCTGGCACCTCTCGAGCAACCTGACCGACTTCCAAATTGTGGTCTGTACTTGGTCTGACTTATACCGGTAAGGTATCTGGCGCAGCTTTATAGGTTGCTAGGCGACAGGGGCAGGGCTAAGGAATAAAAGGGTAAAGACGGGGTTGGCTGGTGACGCATACGGGGGAACTCACCATAGACCAGACCGTCCCATTTCAGCGTGAGCCGTCTACGCTGCCTGGCTCCTTCAAAAGGATGCTTCCCCTGAATTCAGAGAGAGCGACCGATTCCAAGCTAAGCTAACCATTTATTTATGGAGTTTCATCACTACCATACTGAGGCAATAGTCATAACAATTATCAACAAAAAACATATGCATGTTTTTCAATGTCAGGCTATTCTTAAATATATTCTTCATTGGAAAATCCCCAAAAATTGCAGCAGTGATGTTTTAAGAAGTTTTTGTATTCAAGCACATATGTTCAGGGTTTCCCCAGCGTCTTTGGATACCCGATTGAGAAAAATCATTCCAAAGAAACACCTCAGACTCCCTCCCACTTGAATACATTTGTGAGTTAGATCATGAAGTCTTGAACCTGAATGGTTGAGGGGTCCGCTTCACCTGAACAAACACACGGCTTAGACCTGAAGGTGTGTGCAGAAGGAGCAGAGGAGCTCCCCGATCTGTCTGATCGAGGGAATCCCTCACACGTTCAGGGAAACTGTGGAGAAAAAAAAAAAAAAACATCCCACTCTTGAGCAAAAATCCACACCTTGGTTTTTTAAGACGGAGATGGTTGAGTTTCTGCAGGTGTGGGAGAAAGAAAACTGCCACTGGGAATGTTTTTGTGAACTGAGGTGAAACAGAAAAGGTGTTGTAGGCTGTATTTACCTTCCAAACACAGACGACAGTGTTCAGTGTGAGAGGAGAGAGACGGGGGAAAAAAAAGATCAAGACTGACAGTTAAACAGAAAAATTACAACACTCCTTCCGTTCTGAACCATGGGGGATCCGAAGATGGACTGTCCCGCTAAGAGACATATTTAGAGGATAATCCAGCCTTTGTTTAATTCCAGCAGCCCTGAGCCTTTTTTTCTCCTCTCTGGAATCGAGCTTGGCAAGGTCCAGGTCTAAGGGCGGTTAAGATTGATGCTCGTTGTCACTGATAGGAAGTAGGAACGGCTAGGCTTCACTGCAAGCCTATGTCCTCATCTCAGGACTCGGCGGGACGCTGCATAGTTTGGCAGGGCCAATTCAGGAGGGAAGGCCCGTTAATGGTGAGAACCAGTGCCACAGAGTCTGCGTTCCCAGCAAGAGCAGAGAAACGCTGAGGACGGCACTTCCATCTGGCCTCCAGCGAGCCTCAAATCAGGCCGTCTCAGGAAGAACGAGGGTGAGTGCACGCTAACCAGGTGATGGACAATTATGAGACTTTTATGAGACTTTTATGAGCCTTTTAGACGTTTGCGCAAATCCCTCAAACTCAACTGTATGTCTACAGAATATGGACGTCTAGTTGGAAATCAGGATCAGGGTGGAAAAGTGCAATTCTACGGAAGCCCTAAGATGACACGCATCCATACATAAGTTTTCATTCAGTTTTTTTTATTGTTTTCTGGCGATCTCGACTTATTCATGACGTATCTCGGGATAATAACGCATGTTGTCTTTTTCTTGAGATCTCGTGACATTGAACTTGTTATCACGGGACACCCAGCGTTGTTTTCTCGAGATTACGACATTAATAAGTTAAAATCTCCAGAAAACAACCAGAAATAACTTACCATAGGATAACGGAGTGGCTGTAGTATTATCATAATAAAACCAAAAACTCTAAGGCGATTTGTTTGAAATAAAACCAGATACTTGTGCCCTAATGAAAAGACAAGTGTTCAGTGAAGACGCCACATGCTCCAGTCATGCCCTTATATCCTTCTGATAAGTTGCATAAACTACCCAATGGGCATTAGTTGCAAGCTCCCGGTAGTGAAAACGCTGATGCTACCTACCCTAAAACATGGCCCCTCTCGGCCATCTAGACCAATGGGCAGCAAGAGACAGGACATCACCAGGATTGTCAAATGGGAGCCTCTCTTCATTGTTGTTTCACCCAATTATTCCCAAGACACATCAGGAAGGCTGGACGGTTACATCTGGCGTCCCAGATTACAAAACCTGTGCGACTCAGATACGCGTTATTGTGCTGGCCGTCACCACCCTGCTTCAAGACGAGGTCTGGGAACAGCAAGGTGATGTAATGTTATGCTTCCAGGTTACAGTTGATTTATATCATGACACATAATCAGGGCCTATAAGTCATAATCAGTCATGTTATGTGACTGAGTAAGACTTTAACAAACTCTGTTTACATCCATCTCAAGCCTGTCAGGAGCGCTGCTTATATAACCAGAGTCATATAAACCGAAGAACCAAAGTCCGACTGAGAATCATAAATCCAGTCCAGTGAGAGCCAGCTGTGAGCGTCGATAATTATCAAACTGTTTTCTAGATAACGCTGCGAGTACGAGCAGTTAAAAAGGAAAACAATCAGCATAGAAGGAGATCATAATGGACTCATTTAAACAACCTTCAGTGCATTAAACGGCGCCATTAATCGGCTGCCTGATCATCACCCTCAGCGACAAATCTCTGGCACCAGCGGATGTGTGCAGCCCTCTGAGTGGTGGGCCGACCTGTCAATCACAGGGGTAATGGCGTGTGAACAGCCCTCCGGTGTTTGGATTGGAGGGCTCTTGGATGGGATGCCAACCTAAACAGCTCGTAGGGACGGTGGGCTGACTCCCCCCCCCCTCCCCTCACCCGCTGCGGCTGCCATACTTCATGCTGTCCACACGGCTCAGCCACACACACTAAACCAAACACACACTCACTCCGGTCAGGCCCACTTACAGCTCTCACAAACAAGAGTAAAAACTATGTCTAAAAAAAAAGTGAAGGGTGATGGAAAGTGGCATTTTTCTTTCATATTTAAGTAAACCCGCATGATTTTTAAATCGATGATTTTCTAGATTCTGTTTGTTCTTACTGAGCGAAACCAAAAACACTTAAAGCTCCTGTGAGGAACTTTCGATTAAAGTCGATTTTGGCGCCCCGCTTTGGACAAAGCTGGATGATTTATCTCTTTGCTGATCTTGACATAAACATGTGTAAATATCGTTTTATGATAAAATATCTCGTCCTTCTTGTCAAATGTAAAACTCACAATGAATCTTTGGTATTGCATGTTTTAGAAAAGCCGATTCTGCAGCGTGCTGGTAATCGCCTCGTCTGACTCCGGGCAGATTCCTTCACACGGTTTAAATTGTGCTAATACATTGGACTAATTGAAACTAAGACAGTTCTGTCTTTCCTTTTGTACATAACGGACATTTTATCAGTTGAAAACTTGTGTTATCAAAGTGTTAAAAATGTGGATAACCCTGATTGTGATGTGATTAAAGTTTAACATGTGCAGTGTGAATCCCTCTGTGGATGCCCCTTCAGTCTCTCTCTCTCTCTCTCGTTCTCTCTCTCTCTCTCTCTCTCTCTCTCTCTAAGTAGACGCTCCCTCTCTTTAATCGCACACTCAGCAGACAGAGCGAGCGCACAGTGACCTGTAGATCACTGCTGATGTTATCTCTGCCTCCCGCGAGGCCTTTCACTCGCTCTCTTCTGCTGCTGTGAACGAGACCCCCACATCCTGACCGAGCCGAGCCGCACCAGCCAAACCAAGAGGGGACCTGGATTCTTTAGTCCCCCCCCCCTGCAACCTGCACCGGGGTCAGGAACCTGCCGTCACTCTGAAGATTTATGGAGCCTGGGGGCAGGTTAACCCCCGCCCCTACCCAACCCCCCC